TATCATTTGGCATTTAGAAATGTATCCTCAAAAAATAAAATAAGCTTAAACATTTAAGCAAAATTAATCAAAACAAAACATTGAATTAAGGTACCATCCCACATTGGTCAGATAATCTTCTAAAAACAGTAATGATAATGATATTTTATTTTAAGCGTCTCTGTTTCAGTAAATAACATATATTAATATATTATCACGACGGTTCGCGGTTGTCGTTTGTATGTATACCGTAGAAAAATTACTCTATTTCTAAAAGTCAATAATATGTAAATTATGTACAATAAGTCAATAACAATATGTTGTGTACAAATTKGTTAGATAAATACAACATTATACATTTAATGTAATTTTAACGCAACATACCAAATATCAGTTCCTTTACTTGTGATAATACTCATGGACAAAGGACAATAATAATTATATTATACTAATGTTAAATATTATAGAAGTAGTTTAATAAGTGCCGCGTCTTTAAAAATTACATTATAATTTAACAAATTACATTTTTTTTGCTTCATATCCGTACTTAATTATACATTCAAAATACAATTAACATTATAAAATTAAAATTAAATTTGAAATTTTAGTATGCATGTTTTGCAATTTTCCACTCTCAATTTTTTATAAATTTCAAGTTGCAAATCGTAAGAGGAATTTTTTATTATACATTTCAATGTTTTTGACAGAAAGTAATATTTTTTATTGACATAAATCTAAAAAACTAAAAATATCTAATGAATTATAAAATTCTAATATAAACATTCAGTTAATATTTGATGTATTCTACGGTATATTTTTAAAGAGTTACACCAAAAACCAAAATAGATTTTTCGAAAACCTTGCATATATTCTTCCTAAATTTTTTACCCGTCACTTGAAAATTACTGCGAATTTTTTACAATCTTGCCGTCCCCCCTCCAAAGTCCCAACTAAATTTCATTTTCTACCTGACAAGATATCAAAGCATTATTTCGATTACCAATATCGTGTATTCCATGTCCTATTTTTATGCGCACCACGAATGTACAAGTGTGCACTACGATTTGAACTACGGTCTACAAAACAAAAATTAAAAAATATGCCAGCTACAAGAATATATGAGTATTTCTTGAATTTTTAAATTTAATTAATTGTATTGTATGGCTGTAATTGCCAATAAATTGGTCGTGTTTTTAGGAGGTCGATATAGGTAATTTGATATGATAAAAGTAACTTGTAAGTGTGTGAGTTCAATCTGTAATCGTTTTCGGTCAAAATTGACATTAAATATCGTAAGCAATAAACAATTATGCGGGTCATAAAATAAATTGTTGTCAATAATAATTAATTTTACTATTTTTTCTTATAGTTTATAACAAGACATATATTTTAGATAATTACCCAATCATTCCATAATTTAAAATTGTTCAGAATACATGCAACTAGTAGTATTCACTAATTGTTCATTAATTATTGTATTTTTGATTTTTTTTTTTTTTTTTTTACTTTGAAATCACACATTCAAACATGAATACCAAAATACTAGTGTAAAAAAAAGGTGAAAAAAAATAAGCGAATACCAACATAGGCGTGCGCACAGGGGGTGCCGAGGGTGCCTGACTCTTCACTCAAAACAGCAAGGGCCCTAATTATTATTATTATTATTTAAGTGTAAATTTTAAAGCTTGAAAATTTCAAGTAGGTATTATAAAACAGTATTAATATGTTTTTATTTTTACGAAAAAATAAGAATTCCCATCGAACAGAATCATACTGTGTTCTATAACATTACATATAAATATATAACATTTTTGTTGTAGTTTTAAATGGTTTACTCAGTTCGCTGATAATATTGTCGAATTTCATAGAAAATTTTGATGTAATATTTATTTTATTACAATGTATAAAATAAAAAAATTATTTTTAGTGCATTATATATATATATATATATATTTCCAATTTGCCGCCTCCCCCCTCCATCATTCCTAAAATTATTTATAAAACATATTTAAATATACAATTTATTATATTATAATATTATATTAAAAAATATACATTATTAATGAACATTAAATTACAAATATTGCTTGTTCTTCAAAATAGTCAAATCTATCCCGAGTTTCTCGAATAAGATTAATAAGCAATGTATATAACTTTGAAGCAGTACCAATATCAATTGCAGTACCTTGTAAAGTTTTGTTAGTTATATTAAACTGTTCTAATACATATGTCCAAAACACGGTMAAAAATGCGGTTTCCAAAGATTGTAAACTTTTAAAAAGACCTTTGGCTTCGTTTCTGGTAATGCATTTTTCGTTTTCATTATTCTTAATAAGTGATAATGAGTTTATTATTTCTGACCATGATGCATTTAAAGCTCTACATGCATCCGCGCGAGCCGACCAWCTAGTTATTGATAAGGATTTAAGTGTGTATGAATTTTGCTTCATATTGTCGTGTAAAATATTCCATCTATGAGTAGATGCTGTGAAAAAATTGTAAAGTTGTTGAATAAGTCMAAAAAATGAAGATGCATCACTACAACATTCTGCGGCAGATGTTCCTACTAGATTTAAAAAGTGTGCAGCGCATGGTACAAAATAAGCTAAGGGGTTTAATACTTTTATTCGGGCCTGCAAACCTGCTAACCATTTATCGGGATCGGTTTCAAAAAAAATTGGAAGTAAATGTTCGGATTTATTGAAATTTTTTTCTGTGTCTACATTTTTTTCAGAATTATTATCAATAATTGTATTTATTTCAACTTGTTGGGTTTCTACTTCTATGCTTTCACCACTATTCGAATCAGGATTTTTTTTTAAATACGTATGCAATTTTGGAGTTTTATTTAAAATATTTTTTTCTTTTTCGTTTTTTAATTTCGACAATCTTTTGTACTCATGTCCACTTAATCTTTTCCTACCATCACTCCATCAGCCATTGTTACAACTTATAACCTAGTTTAATTAAAATAAAATCTCTAAGAAAATTTACGTACAAAATAATTTTATAATAATTAAGTTATAAATTCACAAATTACCTGTCGTCAAGATTAAAAATTTTACTGCCCGTGTATCGTCCGTGTGTACCGTGTGTCCACTGTCCAACAATTCAGTAATGACTAATGCAGTTTATATAAAATTGAATACCCATTATTATTAAAAGAATTGGAATAAAAGTTAAAGACGGGCGGATSCATAACGATAAGCGGGTATTTCCCTGTCATTATATAACTATAAACTACGCTGTTTGTCTGTCTTTACCGAACCCGTTTGAATGCGCGCATGTTTTGTTACCTATGTGCTCGTACTGTGTTGCGTATATGTGTATAATATAGTAGGTACATGTAGATAGATGTTTAATTTTGTRCGAACAAAAAATTAGTTATAAGTTTGAATTCATCAAATGAAAAATACTTATTGTAATTTTGTAAAAAAATATCGTTAAAATTTGCCGCCCTCCAAATGTTGCCGCTCTAGGCCCGGGCCTATAGGGCCTGTGCCTAAATACGCCCCTGACAGGTAGCGTGTCCGTTTCAGCTTATCACCTAACACAATTAACACATTGGTAAGTTTTTGATCTTCAATATGGGAGGTATTAAAAGTTAAATCCACAGATATATTTAAGTATTTTTAATATGCTATTGTAATTAACGGTTCTGGGTCAATCGACCGACAACCATTCGACCGACAGGACAATCGACCGACATCCAAAATATCGACAAGAAAATCAATCGACTAGGTCAATCGACCGACAACCAAAATACCGAAATTAATATTATAAGTACATAGTAATTTCATTTCATTTATTTTAAAAATATTTTTATAAATATCGTATAGTAATAATATTTAATAATAAAAAAAAATCGTCTTTAAATATAATTTAATCAGGAACTTATGTCATATATATTATATATATTACTGAAAGTTTTGAAAATTGGCACATGTCTCTTTTAATAAAATAAAGACAACTAATAAAGCAGTTTAAACCAAAATTATCGGATATTATGCCGGKTCCACCTCCACACCACACAGAGACGACAAAAGTAAAACAAAACAAAAACTTTGTGTTTTTCAACAAAATCAAAACATTTTTAAAACAATTTTGTTTTTTCCAACAAATTGTTCGTGTTTTGAAAAACAAAGTCGTATCCCGAGCGGTGTCGGTAAACATCAAAAGGTTTTGGTTTTGTTGTTGTTTTTGCGAACACTGTCGAACGTGTGTGGACATATTTTCAAAACAACCAACARGCAATATTTTTTATCGGGATTTCACGGGCAGTACAAATTTGGTTGTTTATAAATATATATTTATTATATAACTAAAACATCTTTTAATCTTATCATTTATTTTTTTACTTTGTAACTGTAGGTAAATATACCCAGCACTCAACATAAATAAATCTTCATCGTTTACAATATCTCTTTTCAATTTCCACATTTTCACTCAGAGTAACAAAATTTAAAAAAACTTGTAAATACGAAGAGTTTAGAAAGCTAGAACTCTGAAGACAGACTGAATGACCACGGATGAACGAAATAAAACGACGAGTTTATATTTCTGTATGGATAGTTGAAAACAAAAACAAAACACGAACAAATTTTTGAATTTTGTTCATGTTTTGTTTAATTTTTACTCAGTATGGACACATGTTTTGTTTGTGTTTTATTTTTTTCAAACTTCAAAAAGAAGGGTTTGAGTTTGGTTTTTGTTTTGTTTCTGTGTCGTCTCTGTGTGGACCCGGCATTAGAACGTAATAGAAATAAGTTGGTCATTAAATGAATTAGTTGTCAAAGGGTATTTAATGGTTAAAGATAAAAATAGAGAAAATCTCTTTTATTGGAATTGTGAAAAAATAAGTTCTATATAAACGCAAAGGACGTGCGTCCACATACTCCACAATTCTAATTGATGGAAGACATATAAGTTAAGGACTGACAATAATCATAATCATGCTCCAGAAACTAGTCAAGCTGCAATTTCTATTGCAAATTCTATATTAAAAGGTAAATAAGAAATGCAATTATTTTTATTTATATTTTTTTTAGTAATATTATATAATTAACTTAATAATTTTAAGATACAGCCCGCGGTTCTACAACAAATAAACTGGCACAAATTATATATTATTAAATGTATATGACATAAGTTCCCGATTGAATTATATTTAAAGATTTTATTTATTTATTTAAAAATGTATGTATTTATTTTTTTTTTTTTTTTGGTTTTTTTGAGAGCACG